CGAGGGGAGCCAAGAGGAATGGGGACGAGGGACAACAAGCGTCAACAGGACGGCGATATTCAAACACTGGCGTCTTGCACAAGAACACGTACTTTGTACATGGCGTGACACATGGACGCCGCGCGAAAATATTCAATGAATGGTAAGATGGACACGAACCGGTGTTAAAGTCGACATGAAGGGTCACACCGGACATGGGATGCCAGCGTCGTAAGCTAGCGGTGAGTTTGCGGCGGTCGGCCACGCGAGCGGACAGGCCGCATATAGGCGTGTTCTGAACAGACGTGATCATTCATCCTCTAACTCCCTGGTCCTCACCTCGAAGAGGTTGGTGCTTTGCAGACGGTGCAGCCAAGACCCTCGCTGTTGTTGGTGCCGACGGGTTCTCGTGGACGTGGTTGCACTGGCTGAGTGACTTGCAGCTTCAAGCTTCTGACCTTGTTCAAAGCGCTTTCGTACAGCCCCTCGTGCTCGACGAGCATCGGGCGAAAGTTGAGGTCTTCGTGCATGACCTGCCATACGACGAACCAACAGAAAGCAACAAAACTTTGGCCTTCCACCCGCGACTATATCCCACCTGTAATAGTTTGCGCGGAGAAACGCGACCATCCCTCCTCGCTCGCCCCTATCCGAGTGATTGCAGATGTGCTAGTGAAACCCGTCCCAACAACGGGCAGGGGGGAATGAAGGTGTGCGAATATGCAAAACAGCAAGAAAAACACATAGTAACTACTGCTGGGCTGGCTGCGCCCATCCATCATAACCTGTACAGCACTCGAACCCCAAAGAAATATGCTGCAAGCAAGCTTAGGCGAACAAAGCAAACGCAAACGCCCTACATTGTACTGCGTTCACCTTCCTGATGCTGGGATGTAGCTTCGAGCGAATGGCCAGCACTACATCTTCGTCGAGGTCCTTGACGTGCGGAGGAAGCGACTCGCGGAGCTCGCGTACCTCCGCCTCCCTCTCAAGTTGGTGTGGCTTGACGTAGTTAGCGTAGTGGCCGGTCTTCACGAACGCGAAGTCGCGGACGGTCCTGTTCGTGTGAACCCCGGGAAGATATCGAATGCGGTCGAGGTTGGTGAACGTTCGTCGTCTTCTTTCTGTCGTTGTTGCCCCTACCAATCATGGACAGCCACCGAAAGGACAAAACTGCCCGAGTGCCAGGACCCAATCTACGTTGATGCTGCACTCACCCCTTCAGCTTGTCTGACCATTGGTCCCTGGGCACTACGTGCTCAATACCCTCGACCCAAGACGCCGTCATCTTCGCCCCAGCCAACGCCCAGCCTATCTCGTCCAACCCCTCGCGCTCTCCTTTCTTGGACGTCTTCGGCATCCTGCACAAGTATGTACCCAAACCACACGGTGGGGTTCTAATCTAGGAGTATGTGTGTGCGTTCTGGCACTGATCGTCCGCTTATTGTATACACGAGTGATCTACATGGCAGCGTAGAAACTTTCTTTGACAAAAACACTACCGTACCGACAGCAATACAGTTATTTGCAGAGGATGTCAACCACGAACAACGAAGCCTGTTAATAAATTGACGCTGGGCTGGTCTTACTCGTTGCCTCCCATATTGGGTACCTCGCGTAAATGTCGACAAGGAGGGCCTGGGTTTGCGGCTGCCCTTCTCTCAACTCCCGCACGCGGGGGTCGGCCAGGAAGGCCTTGGTGATGCTTTGGTAACCTGGAACGCGTTGATCCGTCAGAGCACGAAGCGCCACCAGTGCTCCCTGGCTCGTGTCGTTGACGATAGAAATCCACTGGCGCAGGGTGTTGGCTGCCGGTGCCTGGCTACCAGCCTGAATATTGCAGCAAAAAGCACAGAAAACAAAGTTATAACACGAAAATCCTGGTGTTTGTACAGTAAGAACATGGCCTGTCGCCGACGTCAGCGTACAGGCAGAAACACCTACCAGAAATATGGAGAGTATCATCACCAAAATAATGTGTCAGTCGCACTCACCCCCTTCCAGCATGTCGCTAGCTTAGCCGCGGTGACAGACGGTTTCGAACGACTATTAGAAGGCCGCCGGCGAGCTGATGATGACTCGCTCTCCTGGGCCATCAGCGACGTCATCATCCTATTGTAGAAATAGAGCTGGTCGTAGATTGTCCGCGCTTGGAACGTGGCCGTCGTGACGTTGCACACTGGGGTGTACAGCAGCGGCAGCGGTGGCCCAGGATATGAATAACCGATCCATGGGAAATGTGTGGGTGCGTTGTTGATTGAGGAGTCACTACCGTCACTACCGTGTCGTTGTGCCAGGACCTGCTGCTGTACCGCAGTACACCAACGATGGTGTTATTCATTGAAGTAGCTCAAAAGGGTAGACTACATCGTATGCTAGTCTTCTTGCAGTGTTGCTTGTTTTTCGTGGTATAGACAATTAATTCGGCTAATTCCGCACGTGAAGAGGCGCGCGAGCAGCGACGTGCTCATCTCTTCGTTGCTGCTGCTGCTGCTGCTGCTCCTGCTGCTGCTGCAGCTGCTGCTGCTGCCGTGGTAACATTATCGTCTGACACCTGGACTGCTACACACACACACCATACTCTCCAAAGTATAATAATCCGACCCAATTTCTATGGAGAAGCGTGAGAGGCGAAAGATGTGTTTGAGAGCAGCAGGATTGCTCGTAAGAGTGTAAAATACAGACGTCTTCCCAACACCGTGTTGGTTTCATCCAAGGTGGAGAGTACACTCTTCTATCTCACCGTCAGAGGCGATTTGCCTGGCGAAGCCATCCGCGATGAACCGGTAGCACGTGCACCTGATGAGCCGATCTTCTCCGTACACCTCCTTGCAGGCAGCCAAGCGATGATTTCCATCGATGACGACGGCACGTAGCGTAGCCGCGAGCTCGACGGTCATCTCTTGCCCTTCTGTCAGATCCGAGAACATCACTCGCGGAAAGCTATCCACCCATCCATGAGATTGGATGCTCTCGACGACTTCCTGCACCGCGGTCGGGCTGGTTTGCCTGCTGTTCTCGGCCAACGTGATGTTCTTTAGTGGCACGTCCCACTCCTTCACGCAGTGCGAAGCCAAGACCTCGCCGATGTTTGTTGCGCTTGCCGGATCATCACCGTGGTCATCCGCAGAAGACGTCGAAGCACCACCACGACCACCAGCAGCACGACGGCCTCGTCCTCGTTGCCTGTTGGCCATGATGATGTCGGTCGGAGTAGCCTTGAACCTACGTGGCGGGGACAGAGAGGAGGAAGGTGACAACACAAACGTAGGCCAGAGGGGGACGCACGATCGTTTGGTTGATGGGTGTCGGCACGCCACGAGGCCACGGGCATCAGCGGGCCTCCTACGGGTCTAATGCTACGTACGCATTCGAAGTGCTCCACGTGATTATCGGACATAGAAGCAGTGGTGTTGCCCTACCTCTCCTCTGGAGTCCCTAATCTCACAGGCCGAGAAATAGGGTGTCTTCGATTCAGGAGCGCAGGCATTACCCTCGGGATCGTAACGACCAAAATTTGGGCCGCTGGGATTATATTCTTCTTTTCGACGATTTTCCCCTTCGATTCGATTCCAAACGAATCATATCGGTTGTAGAATGAGCGTTTTTTCTTTTTTATTTTTCCAAATACAACACAACGAGTCCATCTCCGTCAGAGAAAAGAGTCAAAGACAGATTAGCAATGGAATCATAGCGTCAAAGAAAACTACCTGTTGNGAGCGTTTTTTTTTTTTTATTTTTCCAAATACAACACAACGAGTCCATCTCCGTCAGAGAAAAGAGTCAAAGACAGATTAGCAATGGAATCATAGCGTCAAAGAAAACTACCTGTTGTGTGTCCACGATTTCCCAGACAGCATATATGGACATCTCCCCTGCGGATAACAGGCTCAACAAGACAGTTTGGTATTTTTGTTTCGGTCTGAGCGGAAACGTTTTCGTGTCGGTTCAGACTACTTTAGATTCCGAAGTAATCGAAATGACTTCTCTGGGCTCCAAAAAGATTAAAATAATCCTCCGACCTCTCCCACTGGTCAATTTGATTACAAAGCGCAAGGCCGAGCGCTGTAATCAAGACGACCGCTTTCTGATGACACATCAATTGTCGACTGCTCGACCGCTCTCTCTTTCCGGGTCGAGACGCAAGAGGTACGATACAGGAAGCTCTACTTCGAGAAACCCAAACACGCACACACACCACGCCACAGCAACCAACCGAGGAACCAAGGGCACACACACGTACTCGTCCAACGAAGCCATGCCCGTGGCGGATTCTGCGGCATGGCTGTTCGGGGAAGAAGATACCCCAGCGGACAAAGCGCGCCGGCAGCGCGAGGAGGAAGAGAGGCGCAAGAAGAGGGCACGGACGACTCCCCTTTTCAGGAGACAGGATGACTCGGGAGACACCCCCGGGGCTCCACAGAAACAGAAGCGTTCCAAGCGAAAGTGGGAGGAACCACGATCCGCGCAGGAGTGTTGGGAGCGCATGAAGGCAACAAGCAACGACCAACTGCAGCAGCAGCAGCAGCAGCGGTGCTGCAGGTTGAATTGCATCGAGCTGTTCGCCAAGGGCGGGGGGGGGAGGGATGATGACGAGGGCGGCGCCAGCAACAGCAACAACAACAGCAGCAGCAGCAGCAACAACAACAACAATAACAGCTTTCGCCACAACGGGGACTTCTTGGCACGGGAGCAGGCCATTTTCAAAGGGTTCACGGTAGAGGAAGACCGCAAGCGGTTCGTCACGGAGCACGTCCCCCTCGCGAAGCTAAGTCAGGGAAGCATGATCGCGGCGGGCACCCCTGTGTGCAATCGAGCCTTCAGGGAGTTCTTCAGGGTTTCCGACAGCCTCATATGCTCATGCAAAGGGACGGAAAAGGCTCCGGCGTCTAGATCAGCGACAAGGTGTGTGTGTGTGTGTTGTGTGTGTGTTTCTATTAATAGCATCGACCGCGCTTGGTTGTGTGTCTTTATTATTAGCATCGACCGCGCTGTGTGTGTGTTTTTATTATTAGCATCGACCGCGCTAACCGGCTGACCAATTAAAAGACGTCAGTGCCAGCGGATAAAAATCAAGGTCCCTGGAAGGAGGCCAAGACTCGAAAAATGCGCAATGCGCTTGATGCGAATGCCAATACGACTCTCTCTACATGTTCTTTCACGAAGACACACATCTCAGCTTCACACATGCCCTCGCCCGAACCTAGGAAGCCACTGATGCAAAGAGCGGAGGACAGCAAAAGGGTTATTTCAAGCCCAGCCGAAGCCAGGATATCGTGGTATGCTGCATCTCCCAATTTGATAATCGTACACTCCCAAGATCCAACAGTCATCGTGTCAGCAGCTAGATTACTCAAACAAAATAGCAACACATACACGGCCATAGCTCCACACATGCCCTCGTCCGAGCCTAGGAAGCCACTGATGCCAAGAGCGGAGGACAACCAAAGGGTTATTTCAAGCCCAGCCGAAGCCAGGATATCGTGGTATGCTGCATCTCCCAATTTGATAATCGTACACTCCCAAGATCCAACAGTCATCGTGTCAGCAGCTAGATTACTCAAACAAAATAGCAACACATACACGGCCATAGCTCCACACATGCCCTCGTCCGAACCTAGGAAGCCACTGATGCCAAGAGCGGAGGACAGCAAAAGGGTTATTTCAAGCCCAGCCGAAGCCAGGATATCGTGGTATGCTGCATCTCCCAATTTGATGATCGTACACTCCCAAGATCCAACAGTCATCGTGTCAGCAGCTAGATGACTCAAACAAAATAGCAACACATACACGGCCATAGCTCCACACATGCCCTCGCCCGAACCTAGGAAGCCACTGATGCAAAGAGCGGAGGACAGCAAAAGGGTTATTTCAAGCCCAGCCGAAGCCAGGATATCGTGGTATGCTGCATCTCCCAATTTGATGATCGTACACTCCCAAGATCCAACAGTCATCGTGTCAGCAGCTAGGTGACTCAAACAAAATAGCAATACATACACTGCCATAGCTCCACACATGCCCTCGTCCGAACCTAGTAAGTCACTTGGAAGTCACGAGGGAGCCAAGTCCTGCTCGCAGGTTCTCTTGGCTTTCCTTCAGGTGAACACGTCCAGGAATCCAGTATCCGCAGCCGCCGCAGCAGTACTGCTGTACTGCTGTGTAGTAGTAAGTAGCAGGAAATCCAGGTTGTGCCCATCCGTTGTCCAAACAAAGATTTGTGATTCCGTGAGAGAAGGAGATACCACCGCCGTCGAAGGGTCGAAGGCACTGTCTGCCAGATGTAGGCTGTGAGATGGATGGAGCCACTTATGTGTTCTTAGCCTGCCCGCCCGTGAGGGTCGTGACGAGGCCTCGTTTGTGGGCTAGCGTGGTGGGCCTCGTTTGGTAAATAAATAAGTACTTACCTACAGCAGTAGTACCTGCCAGATAGCTGCTGTCATACTTTGTCAACGAGCCATATGGGGGGAGGGGAGGAACGCAAGGGGAACATACATACACTACGCTCTCCAGAGAGACATAGACAATGTAAGTACGAAGACTACGGCAGCAGCAGAATTTATTTGTAGAGATTGCAGCATCCAGCAGCAGCAGCAGCAGCAGCTAGCAGCAGCACTACTGAATACGTACATACGACAGTTAGTTGTACATTGATCGTCCATTCGATGAGCGGGCAGCTTACTTGTACTTGACCTTTTGCCTATTGGCTCACGACGTCTTTCCTGTTAGTGCATGCTGTCACTCCCTATCGTTCGTTATTTTGTGTTGATGTGTCGTCTATAGATGTCCCGTGGAAAAGACCAGAGATTCCCCCAAGAGGGACAGGGCCATCGGCTTCCTTCAGCACTACCAGGACACGTTCGCGCAGCACATGCCGAATTCCGACGACAAGTATCTCTACCTCAAGAACAAAAGTGTATGTATGTGTACGCACTTCATTATTATTTGTACGTATGTACTGCGCGTGTGTTATGTATTCGGGTTGTGACGGGAGGGAACGTTATCCCTCCTCAGTTTGTGGAAGGATAGAAAATAGACGTTACGTTGTGTATGTTGTCCGTTGTACTTACTTCCGGCTTGTTCCATGGTGGTGGTGGTGGGTGTGTGGAGCATCGCGCAGGTACGGGATCGACTCGCAGTAACCCGATAAAATTATACCGGTATCATTTGTTGACCAGTTAGCGCTGACCGATCTATCCAATGGTTTAGCCTTTTTCTAATTTGTTATAATTCAAGCCTACTGCTGTACTCTTCTACCACTCACTATCTATCGGCGAGTCGCCATTGCCACAGCAACAACAGCAGGAGTACGTAAATACTGCTACTGGCAGCCGCAATCAAAATTGCGGGTTGGAAACCACTCCATTCACCATCCATGCACGCCTCTCTTGTCGGCTAATGTCATGTTCTCAGGAGTTGTTCGACGAGTACGAGAGCCAAACACGGAAGGAGCTCCACGGGCAGCTAGTGGGACTGGACGCAGCCCTCTGCACGCGCGAGTACTTCATCAGGATATGGGCCCAAGAGTTCCCCCATCTCAAGTTGAAACCAAGCGGAGACTTCATGCTTTGCAAGATCTGCACGCTCCTCAAGTCGGCGATCTTCGGAACGCAGTCCGGCTCCAGAGGCATCCAGGACGAGGCGGAGAAAAACCTGAAGAGAAAGGAGTACGAGGACCACATGGAGGTGCGTATTTATGTATTCGCTATTTGCGTGGTTTACCGCGTCATTCGACGACATCACAACCCAACATGTTTTTTGAACAGACTCCTCCGCACAAACCCGGGGATGTACAGTATATATTAGACACCCCGAACCCTCTCTACCGCACCTCCCCGCGTAGAGGTTCCAGCAGTGGGCACACCGTACGGTGCTGCTGAAATTATTGTCGCGCTTACCCTTGAACACGGAGCAGCTGATCTGTGTCTCCGTGTTCGTGTCGGCAGGACGTGAGCAACGACCGGAAGGCAATTGCAAAACTAAAGACGGCTGCGGAGAATGCGAAGATGAACGGGACGCCATGGGAGCAGCCCTACTGCATGATGGACGGCGCCAACCAGAACAACTTCACTGTCCCTCTGTCCAAGGACAAGGCTCACGGGATCGACGACAAGTAGAGAACCCGTTGATTTCGTAACGTATCCATTTGTCGAGTAATCTACTTTGAGGACAACGCATATTTTGCTATAATTAGTTGCGTTAACTTTAATCAGCGTAGCCTAAGCCAAGCGTCACCTCCATTCAACCGCACGCCATCATGACGCGGTCTCAAGCGTCCTACTCAACTTCCCCACTGTGCCGCCCCTCTCTACTGTCCTCTATTCTCCAATAACAAGCGTCGGTGGAAGCCACGCCCCCCTTGCTGATCGGTGGAAGCCACGCCCCCCGTCCTGATCATGTGCGAGACAACGGGCCGACAAAGTATATTTAGGTTAGACGCGGGGGGACGAGTGGTGCATGGCCAAAAAACCACAGTGAATGGACAAGGACATAGCAAATATGTATCTACTAGTTGGTGTAGCCCTCAAAGACTCGATAAATTCTCCCGAACGAAAGCGGAAAATTCAAGAACGAGCAATCCTGCGCGCAACACAATATACTGTTTCAGTCTCACCTCATGTGCAATTAACGACAGGCAGCGAAGGAAACTATCTTACACATTAACACAACACATCCGTTATGCGAGAGAAGGAGCGAAAGCCAAATGTGTGTGCCCGCGCGTGTGAGAGAGAGGGAGGGAGGAGCACTTGTACAGGGATGGAACAACAGGTACACAAAGACACACAGATCGAGGGAGAGAGAGAGAGACAGAGAGAGAGAGAGAGAAAGAGAGAGAGAGAGAGGAGGGGGTGAATAAGAGAGCCCGAGCGAGATAAACAGGTAGAAATGTTGTTGTATCACCAATAACCGTGTCAGAGTCGAGCTAAGCATGCCTAACGGACCATAACGGACCATGTCAACATCAAACCCTGACGTTCTGTTCAGCTCGTAGCTTCCTAGTCTTCATGCAGAGCAAACCCACAGAAAAACGCACCCCTGGCCTAAGAAAACAGCAGGAGGTAACGCCACCTTTCCTATCTATTACGCACCTTGTGGAACTTCAGTTTTTTTGCGCGTCAATGCTCTTGTTGTGCTCCCTCCAGTAGCGCCGTTTGATCCAGTTGTTATACCCTTTCCAAGCCTCGTTTCGAACCCTGGCGTCGTTGGAGTATATTCCGTAGTCGGCCGTGGGGTCCAACGCCTTGACCTTCGTCGAGTACCTACAGGAAGTGACAATCGCAGTGGCGCGAGAGAGGGAGAAAGGGATGACTATCAAGCGTCCACCGGCAGCCCCCGCTGTGCAATACGGACTATTTCATTGAGAAGACAGAAACAACAACCCTAACGACCACAACCACAACCACAACTGACAACGACATCGTCGCATTAATTTTATTGTTCAGACACACACGGACAGGAGTCTTTGCACGGCGAGTGCGTTTTAAATTTGGGCCAGAATATATTTTAACCTTTTACGCACAGGAACTGGCAACTTCGCAAGGATCGGCACCTTGGCACCTCTGTGCCATCCAAATATTTTGAGGTAATTCTTACAGTTAGCTTTCTGCCTCCTCCCAAGTGAGTTCAAATCTGGGTGTAGTCACGCGAACCGGGTAAGTTCCTAACTGAACGCTCAAACACGTGGTCATCCATGCCCTGCAAAATTCTCACCTGCAGCATGCGTTGAACAACATGATTCGACGCTTGACTGGCTGTACCCCAGGCAACTTGATTGCCCATTGTAGATGAGGCAGGGGCCGTCGTGCCGTAGGCAGTCGTCCCGCCCGAGGGTTTGGCCAGGCCCACTCGAGAGGGATACGTCCGCGTATGGCGATTTTAGTCACCGTCGTCATGACACCGTCCAGAAAGCAAGGTGCTGTTTCATGCCAGACTGCAAGCGTTGGCTCCGAGACCACACCCGGAGTGTTTTGCGTCGGGCAAAATTCCCACCGCAACAGGATCGGCAATGGGTCCCCCTCCTTCTTGGGAGTACCAAACACTACGTCCATCATGCAGGTTTCGTCGCAACCTCTCAGCCCAGCTTCCACCACCGCAACATGTACATGGGTTTTCATACCCAATCCCGCCAAAAACACGTGCTGCCAAAGAAGAAGGTCCCGTAGATCTGTATTGCGCTCGGGAGGCGAGGATCCCGGCCAGTCACCATACCTATCCGGAGTGTACCAAGAAGACATCTCCGAAAACAAACTCGGGTTTCGGCCTGACGACAAAAAAAAAAAAAACGGACGTTGTTCGCTGTCAGCATCCATCACACACACACAGCCGGCCTTCTACCACATTTAGGATTGAGCACGCACGCGTACATTGAGCAGATTTCCTATTGGCTTTCTATGAGGCATCGAGGCAGGTGCGTAGACATACATGCAGATACAGCTTATTGTGCTTATTCGTCCTACCATTTACTATGGCGAGGTGAGACGTAGTAACTTTAGGGTTCTATCACCTATCGAGGAGAAAGGCATAAATAACCACCGCCGGTGCTGCAGGGCAACAACATTGTTGGTTGAGCTTGGCGGTGGTGGTCATCATCGCGGTAACCGGTGTTCCCGACGTACGTACAAAAAATACTGAACCCACAGCTGCACCAGTCGAAAGGGATGTGTTAAAGTCTATATAGCAGTGAGTGAGTGCAAGAACTACCGTGTGTAAGGAGGTTGCATGATATATATCACACGGTCTGGACTGGTCCTTGGTCGTGGAGTAATCGAGCTTTGAAAACCGGTCCAGGGGGTGTGTTAACTTGTTCAACGTCGGTACTCCTGGTCGTGGGCTGAATGATGGATACCCCTCAGCCTCAGTGCGGCTGAACAGGAAAAAACACATGACCTGGGACCTCGGGAGGGAGCGTCATGGGGGAAGCCACCGAGCTATTCTACTGAATTGTAACATATATATCCGGTAGGTATATATGCTGAAAACTCACGTGCCTGCCAAGCAAGGCTCGCTTGTGACGGAACCGGGGCAGAGCAGCAGCAAGCGGCACAAACAGATGTACCACCACCGTCCGTAGTTGTACAAAGCAGACATGAAAGAGAAAAAAAAAAAATGGCCAGACGGACACACATACATACCGAGAGAGCGGGTACCGGCAGGGCCACCAATAACACTGGCAGGTGTTCATTGATGATGATCTTGACAGCCTGTAGTGTGTCTGTAGTGTGTGGTACATCGTTAACCCGCTGCTGGGATGGTACACGTTCGTGCGGCAAACAGGTGCCTCCATAAAAAAAAAATCTTGGCCATCTGCTCTCGTGTGATTTTTGTTACGCCGTCTGCAAGCCTTCGTCCATACTGCCGGCATCTCCCTACTGATCTACCCACACGCGTTTCAGTTGGAACGTGTGTGACGTTAGGGCTTATGACAAGTTCCGTCATGTTGCGTGTGGGCCCTCTCTCCGTGTGTGTTGGGCGTATTGGCGGCTGGCGGAACTGGCGGTGACTCTTTCTTGGTGAGCTGTCCTTCCTGCGTGATACTTGCATTTTTGATACAACCCCGCCTGCTGCCTGCCCTCGGTCCTACTTCCGGCTTCTTTCCTACGATCCACCCAAACACGTGCCGCGTGTAGCTGCGTTGGGACATGTGTGATGTGAGGGGTAGAGACAAATTTCGTCGTGTTGTGTCTTTGAACCTCTCTCCGTGTGTGTGTGTTGCGTGTGCTGGGTGGCTGGCGGAGCTGTGGCTTTTTGTTTAGGAAGCCGGGCATCCATGATGTGATGACGATGATGATGGCGCAAGGACCATCCGCAAAAAAAATGTCGTTTGGTTGGTACGAGGCCGCGGTGCTGCCTGCAGACGCCAAACCAACGGCAACACGTCTACCATGTACTACAGCATGCACACACCAGTGTAGGGGCTTACCTGTGCCCGTTTGGAGCAGCGTCCGATGAGGAAAAGTTTTTGGGGCGATTGATCGTTTGGTGTGGCAGGCCGTGACGTGTTCGATTTGGTTTTCGGAATCAAATCGACAGTTTCGCGTCGGTTCGGGACCGTTCTTCAACGCGAAGTCCAGTTCTTAACGCGAAGTCTAAGTTTTCCCGGTTAACACCAGTGTATTTTTTTTGCTGGCTGTGTCGTGTCCTGTTCTGTCTTTTGGTGTGGAGTGTGGATGGAGATGTGGAACTTTCTCTGTCTTTGGTCACAGGTTACACGCACGTAGCTGTGTGTGCTTCTCAATCAAAACGAACGGACCGAACGAAAAAACATTTTGATCTATTTTTTTAAGAACGTATTTCTCTTCGACGGATAATACAAGTCCGGGATAAATTAGCAATGAGTTCACACCGTCAGCGGCTTCCCAAACAGCATATAGCGATACCTCCCCTCCTGTGGGCAACAGGATCAACAAGGCAGACTGATGGCCATCTTGTATTCTGGGTGCTGCTTGCTGGGATGCACAAACCGCAGCTTGCTAAGTTCCCGTTCGGATCGATTACTCCGCCTTGTTCAGCAGGTGCAGAGTTGCTTCCCTTCTTCCCCTCGCTGCCTCGGCAAGGCTTTGCGTAGGCATGACCCATAGCGAGGGGGGAGTCTTTCTAGCGAGCAGGGCTAGACTCACCCTCAAGGGACCGATACCTTCTTGCTGCGGCACACCCGCCGCGAGGCGTGCGTAGTGGTGGAGTTGGGTCGGCACTGGTGCGTCAGGTACGAAGGTCCAGATGCGCGGGCCTCCAGGCCGTCGGTGTAGGCAGCAATGCCCATCTCATCTTTGTGCGCGGAGGCAGACGTCATCAGAAAGGTGGACGGGCACTATGTACACAACCCTACGTTTGCTAGAGGCAGCTGTACTGTCTCAGTAACCTGGTTTTGTCATCAAAGGAGGAGGGGACAGGTGGTGACGAGCTGATCGGGCTGGTTGACCCTTCGGCGCGAGAATCTTCAGATCGGGCGACGAGGGAGAAAGCGAGGAACCGACTGGGAAGGACAGCAACGAGAGCGTGTACGAAGCGGAGCGGGTCGAGTTTGGTCGTGCTAGGACTGGCCACAGCGGCTCCGGAGCAGCGGCACCGGAGCAGCGGAACCGGAGCAGGCGGACGGCATCGAACCGTGGCGCACGGACAAACATCTCTTGCATTGTCATTTATTTTTCCGTTTTTGTCCTGAGTACAGGTGTTGGGTGTGTGTGATGACGTCACTGGTTTTGTAAAGAGACGCGGCAGAGATGGCGCGGGTAACGGTGCCTTAATTGTGTACCTGCATCGTGGAAGACCCCTGCAATGTGGAACGATTCCTAGTCAGTGTCGATGTTTACACTGCTGTGCCTAACACAGATGATCTGGATAGATTCGGGTGATTGTCAATTGCAATGATGGCTTTGGTTGGGCGCTCTTCTTCATTGTATGTCCACGGGCTCATTCTGACAGCACTTCAGACAGCAGCTCCATGCCCCGAGCTAGTGTACCATGCACCATGCATGGTGTATTATTGTACAGACAACACTTCAGACAGCAGTACGCTGTAGTCGACATAGTCTACATTCATTTTGGTTAAATGCGGGAGGGGACAGCAGTACGCTGTAGTCGACATGCATTCATTTTGATGCTGCTGCTGTATGTCGTCGATTTGTAGTGTGTGGGCGTGTAGTTCAGTTGTGAGCACGCAAACGTGCTGCAGGGATTGATTGCAGGTGTACCTCCTCGGGCTTGCGTACGCTTTCCTTGCTATAATAGTGTGTGTGTTCTTCAGATCTTCTGATGGCTCTAGCATTTTTGTGACCACGGACCGAGTCGTTGCTTGCATAGATTTTGGGATTAGCAACTGACGCGAGTTAATGTGAAGAAGAAAACAAGAGTTTTGTGGAATGGAGGTACATACAGCAAGCATCACATTTTTTCTCATTACGCAACAAATCCATCTCTATCTATATGATGCTTGCTCGAATTTTCCTTGTGAGTCTCTTCAGCGTAGTGGAAAGTGGAAGGCTTGCCCCATCCTCTCGAACGCGATGCGATTGCTTGCCTGAGCCGTCCCTGGTCGTCACCATGCCACATCCCTTTGAAAGGAGGGACGAAACTCGCGTCTTTGCCTGATCCCAAATCTCCGTGGTGAGTCACAGACTGCACAGCAGCAGTACTGCGGTAGATTCGAGGGGGCTGTCTCAGGACCAGCGACAGCGAGAGCGCGAGAGAGATCCCTCCTTCAATGATTGGTGTTTAGGGCCGTTTTAAACAGACCGACTTTTTGTCAAAATCTTTGAAAGTGTCAAAAAAATGGAACCTGTATGTAGGCGTTTGTCCATTTTTTTCAAAAATATTTGGAACGAAGTTGGGCGCGAAAACTTTGCT